ATGACCCATCACACCTGGCCTCAAACTTCGCTTCATCATGCATGTATGGAAGAAGGGCTATTGGGTAGGCTCCAGAGGAAGGACAGACTCTTTTGAGGCTCTTGCACCAATCAGAACAAACATGAACATTCTGAGTAGGGTGACTTCCCCAAGGTGGACAGAGGATAGATGTTTGGTTTGAGCCTCTGGCCAGAGATCCGGAGGCTCAGTCTTTACCACTAACTGTCCTACTTAATCTGCAAAAAGCCCAAGTGCAAGTTGGCAAAACAGAAGTGTTCTCTGGAAAAGACTGCCCACCCTGACCAGGTGGAATGAACTTGGATAGGCAAGGAAGGGCTCTTTCCTTTGTCCCTTAACAAATCTGGGCCATGAGGTCCCACAGGCCCGTGTCTTCCCATCCATCCATTTCTCTGTGTGTCTGTCTGCCTCCACGGCCCAGCCATGCTTGCAGGCTGCCCATTAGCCTTACAAAGGGGAGGACCGCTGTATATGCTGGGGTCCCTCTGGCTGAGATCTAGAGAAGTATGCATGGCATGAGTCAGGCTAGTGGTTCACAGAGGCTGGGGGCTGGGAGGATGCCATGGCCACTGGGGAGTGTCCTCCTCCCTGCCAGCCTGGCTTTCTGTCATGTGAATGGCCTCCCTTATGCTCAGCGGAATAGCTGGCAGTGACAGAAAGGAGATTACAGGCTGTATTTCTGCCTTAAAGCCTTCTCCAGGCTATTGAGAAACAAGCAGAACTAGGTAGTTGTCAGTTCTAGGAAAAGAGAAATCATGTATATTGTAGCCCTGAAGCGGTGGCCTGCGTGGGGGCATGCTGGTGTCACCTCTGATTGTCTTCCCTCCCTCAAAAGTATATTTTATTAATCCCTGAGTGGGGAGCGGAGTCAGCCTTTCTCCCCTAATACTGGTGTGATTACTCTCCGAGGAATTCCAGCTCCTCGATGCTGTCTTGGAGTGGGGGCAGGCAGAGACTCAGCTAGAGCAGAAAGACAACAAGGAGCACAGCACGGGCTGCGGCAGGATGCTGGAGGGAGCCCTGGCCCCGCAGTGACGAGAGAGAGGCAGAGGCTGAAGGACACTCCAGGCATCCCCGGCTTCCTGCCTTCCCAGCACTGACCCAGGCCCTCTTCCTGGCTCCTGCCACCAGGGCTTTGGCAGAGGAGGGGACCTTGAGGCTGCAGTCAGAGCGGCATCATATACACATCGCAGGTTACAGTTATTTCTTCACCTTCTGTCTTCCCTGCTAGACTGTGAGCACCTTGAAGACAGGGAGAGAGGGAGGGGGCGAGGGAGAGAGGGAGGGGGCGAGGGAGAGAGAGGCAAAGAGCCTGTTTCATCTTTGATGCTTTGATATGCTCAGGCCCCAGAACCTGGTAGATTCTTAATACATGGGGGGATAAATTAAAGCAATTTGCACCTGCCCAGAAGAGGGAGGAAGGAGTCATAAAAAACTACCTAAGAACAGACCTCTGGTCTGCCAAGTCCGCCTCGGGCTGATGTTAGCAAAGCTCCCAGAAACGGCCCCACCCCTCCACTCAGGGTGCACCCACCTCTGCCTTCTTCAGGGAGTCCAACATTGATTTAGCACTTACTACCTCAAGCACTCGCTTTGGATCGGTAAGAAATACAAGAGCAAAGAAACAAGGGGAGCTTGGAAGAACAAAACGTCTGGAGTTTGCAGACATACCACTTGCTGGGTGTTTTCTTAGGCAAGGCCTGTGCTTGACTCACCCAAGCCTCATTATCCACGTCGTATAAAAAGAGAATAACTACCTGGCAAGGAAAACGGCATCTCTCATCTGCTGCTGATACGATGCAAAGGGGTGTGACCTTCCTGCAAGTAATTGGTAAAAATTCCTTAACATGAACCTATCTTTGGACCTACAATTACACATGTAGAAAATTATCCCAAGAAAATGATCGCGTCCAGAGCAAAAGTTCACTAGAAGAATAGTCACAGTTTAGTCACTATTTTGTTATCATAGCAAACACTGGAAATAATCTAAACAAGAAATGTTAAAAATTTGTCTGAGTAGTTATAGGACATCCGTAAATAGAATGCTGTAGTCATTAAAACTATAACTTATATTTTTATATTAATATATATGTTAAAATTAATATATATTTCCTTTACATGCAGAGGTATTGTGACGTGTTGTTAAATATTAAAAAGCTGTTTACTGAACAGTATGCATAGTATGATACTGTTTTTAAGAAAAAAGTGTTTTTCTCTAGGTAGTAATTGTGGTTTATCTTTGTACTGTAGGATTACCACTTAACTCTTTCCCCTCTTATTTATCTACTTTCCACCATAACATTTGTTATTTTGTAAAGGTAATAAAATTATTATATTAAAATGCCTACTTCTAAAGTTTACTTTAAGAGTTAACAAGATATTACATGTGAAAGTATTTTATAAGCTGAAAATGTATACAGATATAAGATAGGGTTTCTGCCCCTGAGGAGCTTACAGTTTGGGAGGAGATGAAAGATACCCAAGATAACGATAGCATGAGACAGAATGTGACAAGAGCTTTCAGAGAATGACAAACAGCATGTTACTTGGAAGCACAGAGGAGGAAAAATTACTCTGGCTATAGAGGTAGCAGCCAGAATGTTTGAGCGAACATTGAAGAATGATGGTGAGGATCTTCTTAACAGATAGAAACATAGAATTGGGGCCTTGAGGGACAGGGAAGGTGTGGGATGGGTTTGGGAATGGGAAGTGCTATGTGTGTCTGGAGGGTGGAGAGCCCCTGGTGCAAGGTAGAAGATGAGTCTGGAGAGACAGAGGCCAAGTTCAGGCACCTTGAAGGCTGTACTTGATGTAACATAATCAGTATGCATCTGCTGAGTGTCTTCTATGAGCAAGGAGTCACTGAAAACTCTGGAGTAGGTGATGACACAGCTCTAAGAGCCTCAAGGGCAGCGCCTGGCATGGACTAGGTCCTTAAGGAACATGGATGAAGTCACCTGCCCGGAAGTTCAGTCTGGAGGAAGCAGTGGACAGATGTGCAGGGGGCTGACGGTGGGGGTGAGGAGGGGCTGTGGCCAGCATGGCCAGGGAGAAGGGTCCTTTCTAGATTATGCCACAGGGAATGGAAAGGAGGGAAGATGATCTTGGGCCTGACTGGAGAGGGATAAAAAGTGGGATAGGGATGGAGATATGAAACTCAGGTGGGGCTGCAGTAGGGAGGGGTCAGCCATGCCACCCAGGTTTGCTGCCAGTGGTCACAGAGTCACAGACAAGTTGTGTGGAGGAGGAGTGGGGTTCAGAGGAATTCAGTGCTCCCTACATGGTTCAGACCTCTTGGGCTCCTCTGCGCGGCTGCCCCAGGGCAGGCAATGGCTGGGGAGCCTGAGATTCTGGCTGCTTTGAATGTGTCTCCATATCCCTTATTTCCTCTTGGGAGGAGTCTGAGGTGTGGAAAAGGGAGGGGGATTTTGTTTCCATCCAGAGAACTTTTGTTAATGGAGATTCATGAACCACCCTGCCTGCTTCTGGAGCTTCTCTCAGTTGGTGGCATCCTCCCAGCACACCTCTTTCCTCTGTCCTTGCAAGTGGGAATTCAAACTTCCCTCAAGACCCCGTGCTATCTACCTGCCACTATCACCTCCAGCAGCACATGCGCAGGTGTGTGGCGTGCACACACACAGAGGCAGGGTGGTGGAAAAGTCTACATTTCCATTTTCCTGCTGCAGCTCCCAGCCTGGGCCACTGTTTAGCTCCTCCTGTTGTCATGTCACTAGTTAATTACATTCTTTACTGAGGTGCAAATGTGTTTTTACAAGGAGACTAAGATGGTGTTAACTAGGAAGGAACTGTTAATGTTAAAGATGCATTTGCCTCTGGTCCCGGGCTGGTGGTGCTCTGGCCTGGAGGTGCTCCCTGGTGCTGCTACGGAAGTACAGCCCAGGACTCAGGCCAGAGCCTCTGCCCCCAGCCTGCGGTCCTGGCTCTAAGCACAGCCTCACTGCAACTCACCTGCATGGAGAAATTAATGGGATTGTTTGAGAACTGTCTGGCCAGACCTTATGACAGGGCTGACCACCCAACCTCCATTTCAATTGACATCTCAGTCCATTTCAAATATTGAGAAGCAAAATTAATTCATTTTAGTCTAAAAATAAATAAGTTGTGCAGCCAAAGCCACCTTTAGGCCATGGCTATGTCTCACTGCTAATTGCTGCTTTGGGTCTATCTCCCTGGAGTCTTCCTTCCTGCTGTCCTCAGATGTCTTCCCGTCCCTCTCCCAGCCCATCAGTGTCTCTCCAGACCCCCAGCCAAAGCCTGCCCTCCATCACATGGATCGGGGACTTACCTGAATACTTGAAAAAGCTACCAGTGCTACCCTCTTCCCCTGAATTTGTCAATGTCTTAAAATAAGATGTCAGCTGTGGTCTTCCCAGCACCCAGGAATCCCTCACAGACACCTGCCCCTCCTTGGGGAGAGAACAACCAGCAACTAGACAGGCAAGGACAGGCACTTTCAACTGTGACAAAGATTTGGGCTCTACATGGCTTGGTGGGCCTCAGCAACCACACAGAGGAGAGAGAGTTGAAGGTAGACAGATATGGATGGGCACAGTGTCTCACACTCTGGGAGGCCAAGGTGGGTGGATTGCTTGAGCTCGGGAGTTCCAGAGACCTTGCCTCTACTAAAATAGAAAAGCTAGCCTGGTGTTGTGGCGAGCACCTGTAGTCCCAGCTACTTGGGAGGCTAAGGGAAGAGGATCTCTTGAGCCTAGGAGTTTGAAGTTGCTGTGAGCTATAACATCACGATACCCACGATACTCACTCCATCAAGTGAGACTGTCTCAAAAAAAAAAAAAGGCAGATATGGTGGGAATGTCTTCAGAGGAAGTAGAATACATCCCTTGTAGAACAGGACAAACTGAGAGAAGAGGGGTGCACAGAGCCCCAGTCCCCCTCCTCTGATGCTCCTCACCCCCAGCCTCTTGCCTTCCCTGCTGAGAGCTTTCTGCCCCTTTTTGCAGGTGTTTTGGCTGTAGCCCACAGGAAGAATTTCTGGCGCAGCTGGAAGTGAGAGGAGGGGAGTGAGTCTCCTGAGGACCATCCCAGAGGCTGCAGGGATCACCTGAACAGTAGGAAATGCTTTTCTGTCCTTTCACACATAGTTAAATCCCCCAGGCAGATTAGCTTTTCTCCTGAAAGCCTCTAGAACCAGCTCCTAGCATAAGCCGACATTTAGCATATACAAGCTTGTTTTCTATGCCTTTGTGCTGCCCCCCTCAGTCCTTTGGGGGGGCCTCTAGGTCTTTACCCTGTGTTCTGCGGACAATAAACTGTCGTTGATACGGATGGATGGGATATTGTGTACCCCCGTGATGATGATGACATTTGTACAGCTCTCTGGAGCAAGCATTATCTTCTAAAAATGACCTGGGGGTGGGATGTTAAGATGCAGTTCCTGGACCACCACCAGAAATTCTGATTCTGGGAGTCAGGCCCAAGACTCAGGAATGTGCACCCAAGTGGTTTTGACAAACTCCGAGGAAACCGCAGCCCAGGTGTTTCTGATGAACTCTGAGAACTAGTTCTTCAGAACAGAAAATCTCATTTAATCTTCTTATCAGATAGGGGTTTTTTTTCTTTTTTTTTTTTTGGTCCCCTTAAGTAACTTCATGATCTCACAGACATAGGTAGCAATATGGGCAGGGATTTAGAAATCCAGTTATCCAAAACAACCCTTTTTTCTTTCCAGTATGCCAGGATAAGGGCTGGATCTGTTATGGTGAGATTGGGCCCCAACTCCAAAGGACCCTGCCCAGGATTTTGTAAGTTTCCCTGATGTCTCAGGACCACATTGACCTTATAGTTCATCAGCCTTCATTCTGGGGCCAGTAATCATTACCTCATTCCTCACAAAAGCTGGTTGTCCTAGAGAGAGGGAGATCACGGCAAAGACAAATGCTCCCTCCTGGGCCCAGCTCCCCACCCAGTGGGTAGCACAGCCGTGGATGTTCACAGGGGACCACGCCTCTGAGGACAGACGGGCAGCAATGATGGTGCTGCCTCCTGTCTGAGGAGCTCAGTTGTAGGGGCAGTGAGGGTGGGTGGCGTGGGAGTGCTGTGGCTCCTTAAAGCGAGATCTGAGGGAAGGGTGTTTAGTTTTCACCAAATGTGGGTTGGGTAATGACCCTAAGGGCTCAGGCCGACAATCTTCAACTGCATTCAGAGCCCATGTGCCAGTGACATTGAAGGGAGTCCACTGTGGACAGTGGCTGTGGGAGGGCTTAAAGAAGATGAGGAGAAGGTAAAAAGGAAAAAAAAAGGGGGGGGATGTGTGTCCCTTACCTGCTGACCCAGTGTGAAGTCCAGTGACTTTCTCTGGACCTGAAAACCCAACCGAGGCTCTTCCTGTTGAGCTCCCCGGCAGAGTCCTGCTTCTCTCCAGACTGACGCTGTGGCTGGATGCTGGAGTCCAAGCAGGCCAACCTGGGCCTGGGGGAATGGAGGTGGCCCTGCCATCACCTGCATGGTAGAATATGGGCAAAAGGTTGACCAACTGCTATCTCCTGCCGTGGACTGTCTTTCTGTAGAATGGATGGCTTTCATGGATGAGCTAGAGGCAACCTCAAATATCCCCCCTGACCTTTGCCCTTGTCCCAACCCACCACGCACACACACACACACACGATGACCACTGAACTGTCTTGCCAAGTGAGTGATGGGATGGTCTGTTCTGGGGACTAAGTACAGTTGACACTATTGGTTGGAGGGGTGCATGCAATTGGCAAGGACAATTTTTGCAGCTAATGCTAGAAGTGTGGCAATCAGAGAAGCCGCCAGCTGTCTCACTTAAATTCTTAGCTCTCTCGCTCTCTTTTTTTAAAATCGTTTTGCTTACATAATCCACCCCCTTTTTATTTTCTAATTCTCTCCTCGCAAAGCTGGCACCAGAGGGGAAGGGCTGGGGTGGAGGGGGTAGCAATTACACATCGGTTTAGGGAGCATTTACATTTTGCAATTACAATTTAAAAATAAGTCTCGCTAATGATCTCCACGTGTAAATGACAAACCCTAACTGACATACATACTCTCCTGGGCCTGCCTGCCTCCCCAGAAGTCAGAGAGGGCAGAGGTACCTGGGGAGACTTAGGAAGAGGCTGGGGGCAGCATTGGAGGGGTGGCAAGGGTAGTTGATGTGCCTTTGAGGTTGGCAGAGGAAACCAAGAATTCTGGACTCCAGCCCCTCTCCCCCAACACCTGCACTCAAGACCAGTCTAGCCCATCTTCTTCCAAGCCTGACACTGTGGATCTCTGCATCTTCAGGTAGCGCCATCAGTACTCTGAGTGGGGAGAAAGGGAGCCCCAACTGCTAACATCCTCTGATGCCGGGATTTTCAAAGTCCTGTTGGGCAAACATAAATCCCAGTCCCTGAGAGCCAGCCAGAGTTCCTGGATACTCATGGGTTGGGTAGAGGGGCTGCTTCAATGCCCGGGATTTGGTATAGAAATAGCATTTGCTGTATCCCTGTTTGGGAAAAGACATTTCTCCCCTTGTCAATTAACACATATTTATTCGAGCTCACTGATTCTTTGAATAAGCTGAGGCTTTGGAACAAGACCAACCCAGACTCAAATCGTTGGTAAAAAAAATAGTTCTACTATTTGCTGACTGTGGGATTGGGGCAAGTTCTACAACTTAAGTTTTCTGACTATCATTGTGTGTGATTGTGGCGATCATGGTTTCCTTCTAGGGCTTCTGTGAGGGTTAAACGAGATAATATATGAGCTAGCACCTTACACAGCATCTGGTGCATTAGAAATGCTCAGAAAATGTCCGTTTCTTTCCGAGCCCCTCCCTGGCAGCTTCAAGGTGTTTTCCCCTACCCATCTGAAAACCATTTCTTTCTTTGAGTTAGAGCAGTTAAAAAAAATACATATGATAAAAATAATTTTTTAAATAAAACTACTTCCTTCCAGCTACTGGACACTAAGGGAGGACGAGCTGGTCTGATTTTTCCAGGTCTCCCCTCGAAGTCAAGCCATCTGTATCCTGAGCTTGCTTCTCGCTGTGGCCATGGCCTTGGGTTTCCAGGCCAGCTTTAAGCTTGTCCGCTCTCTCCCTGATTCTGCCTGTTAACAAACCAGGTTCTCTCTTTTCTGGACACTAACTCAACTGTGAGACCTTGCATTGGCCACTGCCCCTCTCTGGGCCCCCGTGTGTTCCTTATCTGTGAATGAGGGATCTGACAGGAGCTCTCTGAGGAGAGACAGGCCTGACATCCTACAGTTCTCAGATTCTTGGGCCCCTCTCTGCTTCCCACCAAGTATTTGTACAGCAAGCTGTTCATCTCTTGTGCAGCGTCATCCTGGTCAATCTTCAGACCAACCAGGTAGAGTCAAGAACATGACTCCTTGTTACTGGACACACGTACAGGGACTACCACAAACAGAGGTACTCATCTTACAAAGATGGGGAAGAGGGACAAGGTTCCAGAAGCAGCCCAGGTGGCCCAGGTCCAAGGACACATAAAAGGCCCGGGGTCAGGGAGCTCCTTGAAGGCAGGGGCTACATCTCAAGGGTTTCAATGTTTATTTTAATACAGCAAAATATTATGTTATAAATATTGTTCTGAAAGCTTGCTTTTTCTTTTTTCTTTTTTTTTTTTTTTAGAGACAGAGTCTTACTTTGTCACCCTCGGTAGAGTGCAGTGGCGTCACAGCTCACAACAATCTCTAGCTCTTGGGCTTAGGTAATTCTCTTGCCTCAGCCTCCCAAGTAGCTGGATTACAGGTGCTCGTCACAACACCTGGCTATATTTTGTTGCATTTTGGCCGGGGTCAGATTCGAACCTGCCACCCTCAGTATATGGGGCCAGCACCCCACTCACTGAGCCACAGGCGCCGCCCTGAAAGCTTGCTTTTTTAACCAAAGTTACATGATCAATAGCTTTGTAGGTCAAAATAAGTACATCATCTCCATTATTTTTAACTGCTGAATAGTTATCTATTATATGGATATTTAATTATTTATTTACTTTTTTCTATTTCTTAAAATTAGAAGTAAAACATGTATGAGAGGAAAGAGCAAAGAGGGTAAAGATGTAGAAGATCTCCTTTCTGTCCTCCACCTCTACCCACAAGACTTGGGCTCCAGAGTCAGCCACAGTGAATAGCTTCTGATTTTAGTTATTTAGTGGCCAACGTTTAGTATATGATGTACTTACATCCTTTCTTCTGAATTTATCTCTTTGTCAATTAACTCTCTGCTATGAAAGTTAGGAGATTAGAATACAAATCTCCCTTCCAACTTGTATTAGTTTGATAGATTTGTACCTAATTCTATTTGATATTTTCTAGTTTTAGTATATAGCCTTATGTGTAATATATATTATACAATATATCAGTCATATACAGGATGTCCATAAAGTTTGTGTCCAATTTAAAATGGTTTAACATAGTAAACTACACACCAACTTTATGTCCACCCTGTATTATGTATATATTATATATATATTAATGTAAGTATGAATTAAAATCTTAACAATATAAAAAAGTAGATAATATAATGTTGAATAATGTATTACCTTATAATATATATTTTATAGAATATAGCACTACATATTATGCAGTATATGATACTATATAACATATATTATATATTAAATAGTATATTCTATATATAATATAGTATAGTATATAACATTACGTACTATATGATATATACCAGTGGTTCTCAACCTTCCTAATGCCGCGACCCTTTAATATAGTTCCTCATGTTGTGGTGACTCCCAACCATAAAATTATTTTCATTGCTCCTTCATAACTGTAATTCTGCTACTGTTATGAATCGTAATGTAAATATCTAATATGCAGGATGGTCTTAGGTGACCCCTGTGAAAAGGTTGTTCGACCCCCAAAGGGGTCGCGACACACAGGTTGAGAACCACTGATATATACTATTAATAATACATAGTATGTATAATGTACTATATAATATATACAGTATTTTTTAAAATAGTGTTATGTAGAATATATAATACTATGCAGTATATAGTAGATGATGCATAGTATATAATATATAAGATACGATATATGACTATTCATATAGTATTCATATAGTATGCAATGATCT